TCTTGTTTTTAGGTTCCCAGATTTTTCCCCAAAATTGGTAACCTTTTGCTCGAATCCCGGGCTGGTCGCGGCGTGGTCCCGGCCAATGCCCTTGCTTTTCCGTAGATTTTGTCACGTTTTCTGTTGGTTTCTGAGATTTTCAAAGGCTTTTCTAGCATTTTCCTAGGAATGCTTTAGGCTTTGTCTAGATTTTGTTATGTTTTCGGCTGGATGCCTCTTGTTTTTAGGTTCCCAGATTTCCCCCCCAAATTGGTAACCTTTTGCCAACCTATGGAACTTTCAAAGGCTTTTCTAGCATTTTCCTAGGAATGCTCTAGGCTTTGCCTAGATTTTGTTATGTTTTCGGCTGGATGCTTTTCCAAGAATTTTCTAGCGCTTCCTCTTGTTTTTAGGTTCCCAGATTTCCCCCGAGAATTGGTAACCTTTTGCTAACCTATGGACCTTTCAAATGCTTTTCCCTACCCTCCCCACATCCAGGGCAACGTCCTTCCTCCTACCGTTCCACACCCTTCCGTCCCCCCCCCCCCCCGGCCCACCGCACTGCAGACATTCCGCCACGCGCGCGTGCCGCCCGCGTGTACATGGCTACGGTCTCTTCCCTGGCTGGCGCGAGAAGCTCGCCACCACCTCCCCAAGCTTCCGTTTGCGCTGCTCCGTCCTAGAACCAACACGCCACATGGCGCGGACACGGGCGCCTGACAGGCATGCGAAAATCTGACCAGAGCCTTTCACGTTACCACGGGCACTGGCCGGACCTCGTCCAGCGCAAAATCTAAACAAAGCCTAGAGCATTCCTGGGAAAATTCCAGGGCATTGGCCGGGAACACTAGAATCGAATAGGTTAAAAATAAGTTAATCAATTTTTGAGCAAATCAGGGAACCTAAATGCAAGAGGAAATGCTAGATAATTCTACAACCATGGAAGAAAATTGGGGAATTCCTACCCGGGTCCGGAGGGGTAGGGGCGGTCTAAGGCTAAGTCTAAGGCTAGGCTAAGGTTAAGGCTAACATCGACAGTCACGCCTCACCCCACCTCTCTGCCTGGAGCAAGGCTAGCGCTAAGGTTCTATCCCTTGGGGGTCGGCGGCTGCAGGCGGTAGCCTGGTAAATTCACCATCACAAGGAACTCCGCCTCCTGCTTTCTACATCACAAAGTGCTGGGTGCATTCCCACATCTCATCAAACTCCTTCAGTGACATGGAGCACTAGCATGGCCCTTCTTCCAATCCAAGGCTCAACAACCCAGTAGGCGAGGGAGCCATAGCCCACACTTTTTAAGATCTCGTGAAAGCTCGAATTGTCAAACACCTCCAGTGGGATCGTCACCAAATCCTCAGAGACCGCGGTCGACCACAACGCGGCAAGGAGGTCGGGGCAGCAGGTCACCTCCGTTCAACATCAACTGTCTCGATCCAAGCTTGATGTGACAAATCATTCAAATCAATTAAATTTATACCAGGACCCTCCGACAGGTCACCAATTGAGACCTGTTAGAGTCCAACAACCCTCAACTAACAGCCTGTTGGAGGGTGCTGGTATACTATATGTATGTAGTTTCAAGAGCTGCATAACCTCGCCCACCTTCGGGGCCAAGATAGACCGACTGGACTCCCCGGCCTGAACCCATTTTGCAACAAAAAACATATATACCCCGTTTAACAAGCAACAGCCGCAAGCGCGGCGATGGTCAGCTTATGTAAGCCTTTGACTATTTTGACTCGCCAAAAATGGGACCCTCAAGACCCCCACCTGTCGGACATGCGCGCCGTCCGTCCGACATCCACTTGCGTGTCCGAAGGATCCCAGGTGATCAGAATGATCGAGAGCACCGCCCAAAGCAACTGGAAGGAGCTCTGTGGACCAAACACGAACTTCGAGTACCAGGAGGACGAAGTCATTTCCTCATTCATCCTGCAAACCCGCGAGGCTTCAGGCCGCTCTTTGCAGGACTTTCTTAGCGTCATGGGCCGCTAGGGGCGGGGCTTAGCTGCAAAAGGGGAATGGAAGCGACACCCAAGGCACTCGAGTTGGAACATTGTGGCTGGGGAAATCGGACGCTGGACATGTCGCTCTCTCTCTCTCTCTCCCTAAATAAATATGTTTAACATATTATGTATATATATATATATATGACATTCGGGAATTTATATAAGCCAAGCCAAGCCAAGGCAAAACATGGCAAAACCACATCATCTGAGGTGAACTGATGTAATGGATGAGATGCAAAAAGGACGAAGCAAATGAGGCTGGATCCACGACGCTCTTCCAGCACTCCAAAACCGAATCCCGTGTCCTCAGCATACAGAAGGCACTCCCAAGAATCGTGTGCTTTTCAAAAGAGGGTTGAATCATGGGTTGAACCTGTGTTTCACCAACCCCCTCAGAGATGGATTTGTGTTTCAGCCGTTCAGCCGTTCGAGATCGCAGCCGTTGCCTGCTTAGCCGTCACTTCGCCGGAGAACCGCGACAGTCGTCTCACTTCTCAGCTCCTGAGGATCATATCCTCCGTGTAACTGTTGCGCGAGCTCGGGGGCATCTTCCTGAGCCACATGAGGAGCATCATCTTCCGTGATCTAGTCTATCACTTGCACTAGAGAGGATCAGGACTAGGATCAGGGTCTTCCAGAAGGAACTTCAGCTGCCGCCACTCTGCTATACTCCGAGAACATTTGGGGGCTGCAGCATCAAGATTGTCGCAAACAACCATAGTGACACTAGCAATAGTACGAAAGTCATCGGGAGTGTTTTGTTGCAAATATGTGACTTAGCACCGCAAACACATTGGCGGGGCCAGTTTTCGCCTTGGCACTCCTCAAAGACCCTTTTCGCACCACCCCCTCTAGCTCTGACTGGGGTGGTTCCTGCGCCAAGTCAATTACTATGTCCATGGAACTTCGAGAAGTGCATGCTTGAAGCTTGTCTTTCTCACGACGTGGAGCCGCCCGTGTGCCACCAGTCATGTGGACAATCTTGGTGACAGAGTGATGGTGCGATGCTGCGGTGCTCATGATGACCGCGATGCTTATGATGGCTTGGGCGACATGGATAAGCGCTCACTGGCGAAGGCTTATAGCACCAGTGGTCGCAGCTATCAACCCACCCTGCAGCGCTGTGTTGGTTCTCATTCCATCCAAGCAGCACTCGCTTCTGCATCACCGAATGGCACCAGGAGGAGCGCATCCGTAGGTCGGGCCGTTCGGAGGAGCTCCGGACCGCGATGATGGACTCTTCCCTCGGGGCGTGGGCTACCCCTAGCACCCCGACCGCTGTATTCGGTGATCCGCCGCGCGGTGGCTCCATGAGAAGCAAGGAGCTGCTGTTTCCACGGATTCCGTCGACGAATCTGGGATGGAAGTAGGATTCTGCATGGTGATGTGTATTGCATGCTGTCGTGACATGAGGGCAAAGAACCATGCCTGTCATACAGGTCGGACCTGTCATCGTTGACAATGAGAGATTGATCTACCAATCCAGTTGATACTCCCACAATGAACCATGATATGATTCAAATGCAAATCGCACATGTGCACACATGTTGGTGACTATCGGTGCTCCTATGCCTTCTGGTTCTCACTCATCTATCATGTCCCCACGGTGATCCACGCTAAGAAGACCTTGCAAAAGAACTTTCCTCCAGACTCGGTTGCGGCTTGAACATCTTGAACCCACAAGCACCCACTGCGGCATGACATCCTCCAACTGCTCAAATGGTGTGCTTGGCAAGTTGCGTGTCAAAGCTGCTTTCTTGCCGAGCCAACAGCTTCCAAGAGAATGACTCCCACCTCCAGCACATCACGTTTTTGCGATGATTGACGAACAAAAGAAGAATGGAAGAGGGTGCAGGAAAGCAGTCACACAGCTCCAAACAACATCGCCTTAATATCTTAGAGCACCCAGGCTTTTTGTTGTGGGGTCGTACTCGAACCAGCCAGTTGACTCAGCCAAACATACATCGTAAGTTAAGAGTCAGGTTGCACAGCCGGACACAGCTTTGCACTATGACCACAAAGCCCTTGATATCACTCCCTTGATCTGTGTAATGATGCAGAACCACCTACATCGAAGTGACCCATTATATAGATGTCGTCACAAGTCACCCCACAATCAAAAACAATCAGATATATACAGTATATATATATATAAGAGGAAGATAGAGGAAGCATCTAGGAAGACCTCCAGTTTCCACACATGATTGAGCCATCTACTCGTACTCCTTCAGACCCCGTGAAGTGGAATCACTCAATTGGAATGACCACCCCTTCGCGCCCGCCAGAAGACATGACTTGGATTTGGCCTGCTTTGCACAGCAGGACGAATCGTCTATGCCGCCTATGCCGGCTGATCTCAAAGTCCAGAATCCGGATGACGGGTTTTTGAGAATGGTGAAACGCTGCTGCAATCGCGGTGTGAAAGACGCGCTTTGCCCGGCCTCTTCACTGCCCTGGTTCGCTCCAAGCACCAACGTTCCTGGGGAATCTCGTCGTTCTGGCCACAGTCCTCCGAAAGGCCTGGAGCACCTGACGAAGATTCAGTTCTATAGTCACTTGAACGTGCTTAAAGACTTTTTTCGGGGTAGAGTTGAACTGTGGAGCCCGAACGCGTCCAATCTTCTGTTCATGGAGACCTCACCCAAAAACACAAAAGATAACAGGATTGGGGCAAACAGTTGTATCTAGAGCTGACCTTGGTGTGCACATGATGAATTCTGTGATGTTAAGCTTGTATTTTTTGAGCCGAACCGCACTAGAAGGGTAAATATAGTACGTGTTCATATTTCTAGTTGCCTGGAGTCATCTTTGTGTCGGGGGTTGCTACACATCGTCCCACAAGGAATCAGCTTCCTAGTATTGCAGGGGTCAATGCATGGAGATGATGGGAGTTCATCAACTGTGTGGAACGGAGAATCGAACTTAGAAGGAGGCTTTTTGACTATAAGCCTGTGTACTCATTGTGTCTGTGGGGCCTGTGCACCACCAAACTGCACAATGAATACTTTAAACATCTTTAAACGGTACGCAGAGTGAGCCAAGTACAAGTGGCACATGTGTTTACTTCGTCAGCATCGGAAGCTCAGTCTTGGAGGGGAAGCGCTTCTCTCCCTAGCAACACGCCCGATCTTCACGAGGAATCAATGCTGAACCAAAGCTACAGCACCACACCGAGCCTTTCTTGAAACATATGCAAACAGGAAACACCTGTCAAATCTCAAAAAGAAACAAATCAATCATTCCCGCCTTCCAACCCCCCCCAACGCGTTGAAGAAAACCCATGGGCCCATTCCTGGGTGTGAACCACTTCCAGTCTCTTCGTCCACCGCGCCTTTCTCCACTCCGAGCAGGTATTGCTGCTTGAGCGCGTGAAACTCGGCCTGGTGCCGTCGCAGCAAGACCTGGCGAAGGTCGGTCAAGGCGAGGCAAAAAACACGCCGTCGCAGGAGAACCGCCGTTGGTTTTTCATGGAAAGAACAGCCCCTTTTTTGAACACACAGCTCCAATGTCTGGCGGCTTCCGGCACATTCTGGCTGCCGCCCTCAGGCCGGTACAATGACCTACTGCCTGGCGCGTTCTGGTGACCCTTTCACACGTGAGGTGCACCCGTTAGGGTCCAGTAGCGCTTCGGAGATCACCACAGGTCACAAGGATCATGACGCAGTCTGCCAGTTGATACCTAATTCCACCGGTACTTCCATCGGTGTACGGTAGGATGGAAAGAAACGCATCTGCCTAAAGGCCCAATATTCCCAGCAGAAAGGCCCAAAGAAGACCATCTGCTGCCGAAGTGTGACAAATCCCCTCACTTTGGAGGCACATGGGGGCACTTTTTGCATGGTTTGGTCTGATATGGGGTCTCTCTCTAGGTCATTGGACAAAACTGAATGAACATACACATTAAGAGTCCAAAGAGGAGCTCACCATCCGCCTCCCAACCTCCATCAACTTCCACGGCCTCTTCCAGCTGCTTCAGCTGCGACTTCAGCAGCGCCTCGTAGGTCTCCATGGCCGTCTTCGTGCCGCACCGACGGCGAGAGTCCAGGGGCGCTCTCTTGCTTTCTCCGGCGGCTCCGGCCGGACGGAGCCCGTGGCAGACACAGGATGACAGGATGCATCATGCATCATGACATCATGTTAGAAAATCTAAGTTGCGTGCTGCCAAGCAGGAACCCTCAGCAACACCCAAAATCGGCGTGGCGAAAAACACGGGAGTGTATTTGGAAGCCACATTGCAGCGACTGGTACTTCTGGTGGTCCAGATTTGCACAGCAGTTCAACAAACATCCAATATATCCAATTTGCAAAAAGCAACTTCAACCTCAAGTTTGATGATAAATACAGTGTCCTAGTCAGTGTGCCAGTCGGTTTCATCACAAGTTCGATGTCCCAGTCGGTTAGCGAGTCCGCCTTTTCTCCAAACCCGGGTGGTGCCGGTCTAGGTTGTCGTTGGCGGGCGGCCATGGGCAGGTACCAAGGCCTAGAAACGTGCAACATCGAATTTCCAGATTCCAGTCCTTAGGCACCACAGCTTATAGCAGTGCATTGGTAGTGGGGGCAACGCATCAAAGCCAAACACAGCATAAATAAATATATATAATATATATATATACTAAATACGCATATAGTATAGGACCTAGGAATATACATACACAATACATTGTAAATTCATGTAGATTCTAAATATGTTGGAAAGGTTGCCTACAATGATCTACATTGAATGGACAATGATGATGATGATGATGATGATGATGATGATGATGATGATGATGAT